TCGGGGATGGAATGATGTCACAAAAAGGCTAAAGAATTTTCACTCTAAAGCCCTGAGGGGAAAGGAACAGATTCGAGTGACACAGGAACAAGCCACACGTGGGGAAACCCAGTCCAGTCCACTGAATACGGGAAAGCTTTTCGTGGGCAGAATAGAGTACCTCCAAGAGGAGGAAGAGGGATACCTTATTAAAATGACTGAAAGGTGACATGAGGGGAGTAGTGTTTACTTTCTTATTCTTTTAACCTCAGAGCAACTAGTTTGATGGGCAAACCATTGACCACCTACTATAGAAATGGTTGGTACTTTCTCCCCTTTTGCTCACCGGACTGCTCTGTTCCTTTCCCCTCAGGGCTTTAGAGTGAAAATTCTTTAGCCTTTTTGTGACATCATTCCATCCCCCAAAATCTTCTGATTTGGGTTTGATGTGATGAGTTTTGCAACATTGACAAGTGTGTGGGGAGGGAGAGGGAAAAGAAGGAAGATTCTTCAGTAAAAGAATAAATTGGAGACATGAGTTGAATGTTCTTGTATGACTTGAGATATTTGTGACAGCCCACTGAAGATCTGGATGAGATGAATCAGTGTCTTGGTCTATCTTTTTTGCAGAATGAAGTCTTAGAATGAGCTGTATTATTTCAAATAGCAGGTGGAGAAATCCACATGTGGAGCAAGAGACAGAAATTTTCCCTCTTGTAGGTAGAAAATTCAGCATATTATGGAGAGAGATACTAGCCCCAGCATCCCCTTGGCTGTATTAATCTAAGCCAAGACTGTACCTTTCTGGGAAGCAGAATGCTTGAAAAGTGCAGTTCAGCACCATCAGTCACTCAGCCAGCTCATTCTACGGCTCATGTAGATCTAATCTCAGTATTGCAAAGTCCATACATGTTTTGTTTTTCCCTTGCCTTCTTGAATTTCAAGATTTGTCAGATGGTGCCTACATGCCTTTTATACTGAATTAGAAAAAAAAAATGTTTATGTTATGTAAGTCTTGGGATATTTTCCCTGTTCTTAGTTATTGTTTCTTTATGTGAAAAGGCAGGAGGCTACATTCTTCCAAGGGTAAGCTGTTCCCTGGTTTACTGTGAAAAGCTCTGTGCTGTTATACTCACTTCCAAACCTTAGCTGAACTAAGTTTCTGTAGTGAGTCCACTGAGTAGTGGATGGAATGATTTTTTTTTAATTTTCTCTCTTAAGAATGGCAAGTGTCTTTTTGTTGAAGTTCATACAGCCTGAGTGAATGGCTAAAATAAAATACAAACCAAAAACTTTGTAATTCTTAAATTCTTGGGGTGGCGGGTATTTAATACTAAAATGAAGGAAACCTGAATAGGTTTATTTTTTCTCAGTCTTTAAAAGATAAGAGTTGATATCTCTTATATGATAAAATACTGCTTTCAGTGTTTGGGAAGACTTTTTGGGACATTCCTCAATAAAATGAGGGTACGTACTTATTTTTAATTGTTCTATTTTTATTTTTATTTTGCTTTAGTAGTTTTACTCATTGATTAATTTTCAATTCCAATTTTTTTATTCCTCTCCTCCATGTAGATCTTTGTAAAAAAAAAAAATTACACTGGAAACTGTATAATACTCCAAGATTTCAAAATGCAGAATTATGGAGAGACATAATTTCTTAGTAATGTAGCTCTACTTCCTCCCACTTCCAATTCTTTAAATGAGAGTTTTCAAAGAAAGATGCTAGGGATTGAAAGGCACAGTGAATTTTGATAGTTGCTATAGATCATTCATTAAAAAAACCTGCTTTCATATTATAGAGAAAAAAACTGCAATATTTGGGGAAGCACACTGCTGCTGAATATACCTTAAACATGACGAGGGAGTGATGTCATAACTGAAATTGAAACAAAGGGATGAGAGGGAATCATTAAGTATAGTAATGTTCCACCTTATATTAGAAAAAAAAACTGTTTTCTTTGTTCTGCAAAGTGTAGAAAGTTTGCAAAATTCCAAGTGTAAATTTTGTGTGTACTTTTAAAACTTCAGTTCATACTTAATGTGNAAAGCAGAGTTACAGCAAACCCCTACCGCCCACCATGAAAGCTGGAACGCCCACTAGTGGGCGGTAGGGACCAGGTTGACTACCACTGGTATAAATCCTTCCAGTCAGAGCTGAAGAAGCTTCTTGGATGAGAAGCAAAATATCTTCAAAGAAAAAACAGAAAGTCCAATTGTCTTTTGAAAAAAAGCACCTTTGAGATTTCCAGAATATAATTAATTGATTATAAATAATATAATACATTATATCATTTAAAAAGCTTGACCATCACTCTTAAGCTCTAAGCAAATAATACATATCTAGAAACATACTCAATGCAATATAAATCATAAAATGAAATTTGTAAAGTCCACATTATTAGGTCTACTCGGCTTTAGAAGTCCTATGAAATTACAATATACACTTCGCAATCCTACTGACCATTGGCTGTATTTTATTAATAAAATTATGCAGAGGAGTATTTAAATTTTGCATACGATAGAATTAATGTATTGAATTATAATTTAATTGGGTCCAGTTTGAATTAAATTCTGTGTCAGATTTACTTTTGAGATAAACAGTTATTTTAGTCATTGAGACACACTCCTACATTTAATTAACCATTCAAGGACTGTTGAAATATCCAGTCCTAGTGTCTCCTTCAGTCCCTTACTTAGTGTATCACTGACTTCAAAGACTTATTTAGCAAATTTGCTCATCCAAGGACCTGGTTACAAATCATACCAAAAAGTCCTGGAGACTGGAAAAAAACAGATTATATAAATCCCTAAAAATCCCTGACCGCTGCTTTTCGCTCTCAGTTTAGAAGATCTTTCCAAAAGACTAATGCATTAATAGTTTCTGAAGAGTCTAATAAAATTAACAGATTCATTTTCTGTCTTTCCTGACATCTATCATCCACCACACTAAAATGAGCTAAATTCTGGAAGCTGAAGACAAATGGGGCAAATGCATCGAGGGAGCTGAGGCTGCAATTCCAGCAGGCACTAGTTCAAATTAGCAAGTGTATAAAACTGGACCAAACAGGAATTTCCTTAATAGTATAGCCACATATAATAAAGGTGAATCGTGTGCTTTCCAGTTCTACAGTCTAGACTGATCCCCCAATTTAGTGAATGTCAGTTTTCTTGAACTTCAGTTTTTATAATCTCCAGCTAGTAACATGAAGGCTAAGTTCCAGATGAGTAGAGGATACCAGACTGAGAGATGTTTCCATAGATTCAGCTCCGCAAGTAGGCATACAATCCATCCTGGTATGTCAGGTGAGAAGCTGGGCTTATGTGATAGTTCTCCCTCAAGCATTTTGAATGAGTCTCCTACTAGTATTTTGAATTCCTCTGGTTGACATTTCTGTTTGCCTCTGTATACACCCTATGTCCTTAGATTGCTGCGTCATTTATTATTCTTACATTAAATAATTGCAAAAAATATTTCTTGAAGGAAAAGAGGAGAGTAACACTAAATATATCTGTAAGCAAGAGGTAGAGTTACATATAACAATTTCCTGTTCTACTTTATCTAAGGTCTTTTTGCTTCTTTTTCTGTTCCCTGGTGCCTTGTCTCATGTTTTCAGCAGGTCTTGGTGACATCACACAGCAGCTGAATCAGAGTGAGCTGGCTGTCTTACTGAACTTGTTGCAGAGCCAGACAGACCTAAGTGTTGCACAGATGGCCCAGCTACTCAACATTCATTCAAACCCTGAGATGCAGCAACAGCTAGAGGCCCTTAACCAGTCCATCAGTGCACTCAATGAAGCCACCACCACTACCACTCAGCAAGTGCAGGATTCCCAGAAAGTGCCTGAAGAGGAAACAGCTGTTGAGGAACCACCCCCACCAGCCCTTCCCTCTGAGGAACAACCCACTCCTGAAGCAGCAGGCACTCAGGGAGACATGCAAAGCGTTCTGGCAATTTTGCTGAGCCAGCTAATTAAAACCCAAGAGCCTGCAACAAATACAGAGCAGAATAGCAGTGAGAAGAACAGCGATCTACGGGGGCCACGGAAAACCCCCACTTTGCCTCAGGAGGAAACTGCAGGTAAATAAATTGAGACACCCCCTTGCTCCTAGGACTTAAGGGGGAAAGATTATATGGGTCTTTCCATGCAGTAAATAAAAAACTCT